CGCAGAGCCTGTCAACCCGGGTATCTATGTTTCATTTCAGGCGACCATTTAGGTTCCCCACCGGTTGCTGCTCACAGCGCCGGGGCTGCGGAGTGCTGCCAGAGAATGCAAATCCAGGGCTCCAGTGCCTCCCCACTGCCCCCAGCACCCGCCACCCCCCCCCGGGACAGGGCTGCTCAGTGCCTGGTGGAGTGCTTGGGGCGAGGGTTTCCACTGGGGAGGGGGATGCTGAGTGGGTTTGGTTGTGTGATGCTTGCTGACATCACAGGGAAAAAGCCGCTGCTCAGCTCTGCACCCCACACTGCCCGCAATACTGGAACAGCCCCATCCCCGGGCAGCCCTGGGCAGTGAGGGCCCCTGCTCCTCCCAGGCGGTTACTGTGGCCCCTTCTCGGGGTCCCTCCCTGCACTGAGCACCCAGGGGTCCTGGGGGACCCAGTTCTGCAGCCCAGAAGAGGCAGCCCAGGTGCTCCCAGCCTGGTGTGCCTGGCCATGTGGGGAGCCCGTGGCACAGTGCTGCCCGTGGGTGCTAGGGAGAGGTGCTCTGACACACATCCCTTGCTCCCACAGTACCTGTTCCTCCTGGGGTGTGGGAATGCTCCCCAGGAGCATTCGTGCTTTCGGCACTTGCAATAAAAGAAATGCTGATCATTAGTAGTCCTTGGCCTCATTTAAAACGAGACAGATCAGTGCAGTGCCCAAGCCTGGAGCAAAGCCGGTGGCATTTAACATGGCACAGGAGACACAAGTAGCACTCCACCACCTCCACTGCCCACCTGCTTGTGCAGGTACTGCCAGGACTGTGGCACAGCCCTGTGCTCAAACACCACAGCCCCAGGGACAGCAGGGGAGAGGCTGGGACGGGGACCCCAAGTTCCCCTGTCCAGAGTCCCCTGTATGGTGTCCCCCGCCCAGTGGCTGCTGCCTGGCATCCTCTCCATGGTGTCCCTGCCCTGCCCATGGCTCAGTCTTGCACCACCAGCCCTGCGCAACGGCTGCTGCAGCAGGCAGTGGGTAGATATCATCTTTAGCTGATTAAATGTCCCTCATTAACGAGTTTCTTTAATTAATGAAGTTTTTTTGTTTGCTCCACTTGCTTTCTCCCCCTGTACTCTGCCTCCTCAGCACAATCCAGGCCATTTCCTTTCAAGTCATTTAGCGTGTGGGGCCGGTTCCTGCCGACGCCGCACTTTGGTGATTGTGCCTGTCAGCTTGGGGCTGACAACGCCGTTTCCCACATTTGCTCCTTTTTAAGATAATAATGCACCGAGAGCCCCCAGACCCAGAGGATGGGTCAGAGCAATCAGCCGAGTGCAGAGCCCTGTGCTAACAATGGGGCACCTGCTGGCCATGAGCACCCTGCCACGGGCCACCAAACCCTGCCCACAACAGGCGTCCTGCCAGCACAGTGATGGTGCCACGAGTGAGTGCCTGGGGTTATCAGCCGCACACCAGCATCTGCACCCTGCTGCCACCACAGCCGCAGCCACCACAGACAGGCCTAATTTCCTCTAAAGCCTCATGGCCACCCTGCTGCTTTGGCCTGGCCCCACTCCCATCTCCAGCCCATGCCAACTCCCACCAGCCAGCTCTGCCTGCAGCTGGGCCCTTCCCGCACTACGCAGTGTTGATGGTGCAGAGGCAGCACGGCACAGCATTGCCCAGTCACAGCATGACACCACCCAGTCATGGCATGGCACTGCCTGGTCATGGCATGGTACTGCCTGGTCATGGCATGGCACTGCCTGGTCATGGCATGGCACTGCCCGGTCATGGTTGAACCTGCTTGGTCACAGCACCACCCGCTCATGTGCAGCTGGGCTTGAAGCTGGCATGTGGAGCCCTGGAGCAGCTGGAGAGGGGACACAGTCCTGTCACCACACACTTCCCCCCCTGACAGTGGCCTCTATTGCTGCAGCTGTCCCACTCCTCCTGTTGGGAACCAGACACCTCCTGGGGAGGGGGGGGGGAAATGGGGCCGAGGTCCTTCCCCCACCACAGCATCTGCAGAGCCCCCCTAGGTGTTTCTGCAAGCTGCAGAGCCTCAGTGGGCACATCCCACAGGCAGCACAGGCAGGGCAGGGAGGGCAAACCATGGGCAGAGAGTGCAGGCAGAAAGCACGTTGCTGTGACCTGGAGTGGCTTCTGCCCGCTCACGGAGGACAGGGTATCCCCTTGCCACATTATGAGGCAGCCTGAGGTCACTGCTGTGCTCAGGGAAGGGTGTTGAGCAATTCCCAAGGTCCCTGTGGACCTGTTCCCACCAGCAGGAGACAGAGCAGGCAGCAGCCAGGGAGGCCAATGGGATCATCTGCCCTTGTGCCCAATGCTCCAGAGCAGGCCAGTGTAGCATGCTGGGCTGCAGAGATGGGCTCAGCAAATGCCCCAATGGAGGCAGGAAGGTCCTGGCATGGCCCCACGTGCCCCCCATGCACCCTGGCCCCCCAGCCATCACCGTGCCCAGCACGGCTCATCTGCGTGACAGCCACAACGTCCCCTCTTCGACCCGGCAGCTCGTTCATGCTAATGACTGTCAACATGAAACAGAGGCCGTGAAGGGGAAGAAAATTACTCCCTGAAAAGGAATTGACTGATCCCCATCATTTCTCACGGAACCACTGACCTGTGAATATTTCATTACCCCAAATGCTGCACCATCCATACAAAGCAGCACCTGGCCCTGCACATGCACTGGCTGTGGAGCTCCATGCTGCTCACGGAGCAGGGTCAGGGTGCTCACCATGGGGACAGCCCTGGCCCCAGGAGGGATGAGCCCTGCTCACCGTGGGACAGTGGTAGGTGGCGGCAGGTTGCTTCTCCCTAGAGTGGGGCCAGACCTCACAGAAAGCCGGGTGGGACGATGAGGAAGGACCCAGGGGAAGCAGCAGTGAAGGTGTGAGGAGCTGCGGGGACCAGAGGCAGCAGCAGCTGCACTGGATGTCTTCATCACCAAGGCGCAGGGAGGGGTGAGAGGCTGGTAATGGCATCTGCCAGGGATGCTC